GCTCAACCAACTGAGCCACCCAGGCGCCCCTCCAGAACACTTTTTATCTAGCAAAACTCAAACTCTACACCCTTTGAACAATAATTCTGCTTGTGCTCATTTTGGCAGCACATATACTAAAATTGGAGCAATACAGAAGATTAGCATGGCTCTTGCACAAGGGTGACATGCAAATTCCTGAAGCAGTCCATATTTTTAGAGGTGAAAAGAGGAGACATTACAAGTGATACCACAGAAATACAAAAAATCATAAGAGACTACTCTGAATAATTATGTGACAACAAATCAGACAACTTAAAATAAATCCATGGATTTCTAGAAATAGGCAACCTACCAAGACCGAATCATGAAGAAATAGAAAATCTGAACATACCATACAATCTCAAAAAGCTATCTGCACCCCTATGTTTATTGCAGCATTATTTACAGTAGCCAACACATGGAAATAACCTGCATGACCATCAACAGATGAATGGATAAAGAATGTGGTATATACAGGGGCTCCTGGGTGGCTCAGTCATTAAGCCTCTGCCTTTGGCTCAGGTCATGATCCCAGGGTCCTGAGATCAAGCCCTGCATCGGGCTCCCTGCTCGGTGGGAGGCCTGCTTCTCCCTCTCCCACTCCCCCTGCTTGTGTTCCTTCTCTCACTGTCTCTCTCCGTCAAATAAATAAATAAAATATTTTTTTTAAAAAAGAATGTGGTATATACATATATTCAGTGGAACATTATTCAGCCATGAGAAAGAAATACTGCCATTTGCAACAACATAGATGAACATTGAGAACATTATGCTAAGTGAAATAAGCCAGGCAGAGAAAGACAAAAACTGTATGATCTCACTTATATGTAGAATCTAAAAATGCTGAACTTATAGAAGCAGAGAGAACAGTAGTTTCCAGGGGCTGGTGGTGGGGGAAATGAGGCAAAATCGGGCAAAGGGTACAAACTTCTAGTTATAAGAGGAATAAATTCCAGAGATATAATGTATAGCATGATGACTGTAGTTAACAGTATTGTATTGTTTACTTGAAAGTTGCAATGGGAGTAGATTTTAAATGTTCTCACAGTAAGAATAATAAAATGGTAATTATACTAATTAAAAAATGTGCTAACCTAATTGTAAACATTTATTAATATATACATATATAAAATCCTCACATTTTACATTTTGAACTCACACAATGTTATATATCAACTATATTTCAGTAAAGCTGGGGAAAGAACACAATATTTCCCCATCTATTTCCCCATCTCTGCAGCCACTGGCAGTCATCATATTACTTTCTGTATCTCTGATTTTGGCTACTCTAACTACTCTAGCTACCTTTTAAGTGGAATTGTATGGTTTTTACCTTTTTGTGATTGATTTATTTCACTTGGCGTAATGTCTTCAAAGTTCATTCATGTTGTAGCATGTGTCAGAATTTCCTTCCTTTTTAAGCTGAATAATAATCTACGGTGTATACATACCACATTTTGCTATCTTCCATCCATTGATGGACACTTGAGTTGCTTCCACCTCTTAGCTATTGTGAATAATGCTGCTATGAACATGAGTATACAAACGTATCTTCAAGTTGCTGCTTTCAGTTTTTTGGAAATATATCCAGCAATGTAATTGCTGAATCATGTGATGGTACTTTTTTTAATTTTTTGAGGAACTGCCAAACTGGTTTCCTGGCAGTTCTTTTCCTAACCACATCCTTTTTTTATTTCCACCAATAATGTCTTTGTGTTCCAATTTCTCCACATCCTCATCAACACTCGTTATTTTCTGTTTTTTTGTTGTTGTTGTTGTTGTTTCGTTTTTTTAATAGTAGGCATTCTAATGGGTATGAGGTGGTATTTCATTGTGGTTTTGATTTGCATTTCCCTAGTGATTAGTGAGGTTGAGCATCTTTTCATATGCTTATTGGTCCTTTGTATGGCTATTTTTTTTTGGAGAAAAGTCTATCCAAAAGTCTTTTGCCCATTTTTAAATTAGGTTGTTGTTACTGTTACTGTTTAATTTTAAGAGTTCTCTTGTATTTTGAATATGAATATGTAATATCCTTCCTTATCTCTTGTAATCTTTTAATTTAGAGTCTATTTGATATTAGCATAGAGTGTCTTAATTTGTCCCTCACATTTGAACAGTGTTGCTGGATACCAGATTCTTAGTTGACAGTTTTTTTCTTTCAGCACTTTAAATATATTTGCCCCCTGTTTTCTGGTCTCCAGTATCTGATTAAAAACTGCTGATAGGGATTCCTGGGTGGCTCAGTCGGTTAAGTGTCTGCCTTCGGCTCAGGTCATGATCCCAGGGCCCTGGGATCGAGTCCCACGTCAGGCTCCCTGCTCAGCGGGAAGCCTGCTTTCCCTCTGTCTGCTGCTCCCCCTGCTGTGCTCTCTCTCTGAAAAATAAATAAAATCTTAAAAAAAAAACAAAACTGATAATCTTATTGGGGATTACTTGTATGTTATGAATCACTTACCTCTTTGGCTTTCAACATTTTTATTTTGTCTTTGACTTTTGACAGTTTGATTACAACGTGTCTTGGTATGGTGTCTTTGAGTTCATCTTTCTTGGAGATCATTGAACTTCTTGGATCTTTATATATTCATGTTTTTAATCAAATCTGGGAAGTTTTTGGACATGATTTCTTCATATAATTAGGGTTAGGGTCAGGGTTAGCTTTAAATTTATTGATTCTTTCAGCTCAAATCCATCTTTGAATTCCACTAGTAAATTTTTCATTTTAGTCATTGTAGTTTTCAGCTCCAGAATTTCATTTTGGTTTCTCTTAGGTTTTCCATCTCCTTATTGATATTTCCATTTTGTTCATATATTATTTTCTTGACTTTTTCCACATCTGCCTTTAGTTCTTTGAGCATCTTTAAGACAGTTGTTTTAGTCTTTGTCTAGTAGGTTTGCCATCTGGTCTTTCTCCAGGATGGTTCCTGTAGGTTTATTCTTTTTTTTTTTCCCTTTTGAATGGGCCATGCTTTACTGTTTATTTGTATGTCTTAATGATTTTTTTGTTAAGTTGATATTTGAATCTGAAAATGTGATCATTCTGAAAATCAAATTCTTCTCTTTCCCCAGGGTTTAGTACTAGCCTTTTGCTTATTTGTTTTTTTTTTTTTTTTTTT